AACTACGTCTTTGGTTTGGTGGCCGCTTACATTATTCCCCCTTCTAACTGGGTGCATCATCCTGATAGGTCTATCGGGGGTGACTATTATACGCCACTGGGTAATATCCTCGATCCTTGAGGCTCGTGATAGCAACAGATCTCTTATATTAGTATTTGGAAACATCACTAAGAGAGGCCTTGGACCACGTGAGCTTTCCCCTTTCCACAGGCCAATTCCGTGGCACTTGATGTATGGGGTGTTGGGGTGGGGCAACTCTGCCAGCCTAAAAATGTTTTGTGCATGGCGATGCTCACCTTTTCGCCTCGGCTTCGCCATGTTAATAACGGGCTCCGCGCAATTATGCAAGAGCAAGTTCTTAGTTCTTCCCAGCGACACTTCGCTGCTCTTTTTCAGCAGCTTAAGTTCCCTCTCTAACCGCTCAATCCGTTGTACCATTTCCCGGTAGTTCGGCTGTCCCTCAGGTTTAACCACAAACTTCTTAGCCTGTAAACGCCTTATTGTCTGTTTTCCAACTTCCTTATTTCGGTTTCCTGCTTTTCTTATTTCTGTACTTTTATTTAGGGATGACGCAAAAGTAATCCCTTCCGGTTTCTCTTTGTTATCCTTATTCAGGGGAGCCAGTGATGCTTTCAGAATTCTCCTGAACTCCTCGGCTAGTCTTGCGCAGTGTTTGCACACCCACTTAAAGGACTTGTGCTTCATGTGGAGCTGATACTCCTTTTTGCTCATTTGAGAGCATCGCTGGTGGTACCACAATCCACAGCCGTCGCACTGAATTCCTTCGGTGACATACTCTGCGAAACAATTGGCCCCACACGCGTTGGAACCTTTCGATTGTGCCATTCCAAGTTAATCGAGAAATGTCTAAATACACAGTTCTCTAACTCTGGAAAAGTAGACACAGGTGATTCCAAAAGCGTAAAAAATACGTTTTAACAAACTCAAAAATAAAATACTTTAGGCGTGCGAACCACCAAAGTGTAGGCAGAAAAATTGCCTAGTAAGAGGTTTGTGATCTTTGATAGATCGCGAACGACACTGGTAAACGTAAAAATAATTCAAGAGTTATTTGAGTGAAATATCTACTGATTTTGACTAGTACCGGACAAAAAGTGTGAACGAGCTAGAGCCCAGTGGAAATTCAAACCGCGCGCTAACGTACCGCAAGGGTGTTGTTATGACCAAAACCGTTGCAGATCATGGTGGACGTCATGTGTTCAACTCTGTGGTCTTACTTACATTGCAATTTAATGGGACAATACTTAGACTTGAGATACTGTAATTGGATTAGAAAAATATCCCCATAGAAAGTAGATTGTGGATAAATAGACGATTGAAACCGAAAAGGGCTGAATGCTTAGTGTACTTCTAATGCTAAGCTGAGGTATCATAAAAGATTTAAATCTCTTTGACACACAAAGATGAAGTGAGACCGTGTGTACAAATTCTGCATTAATTAAACGGTAGGTAAAAATAAATAATGGGAACCAGTGGTGATTTTGTTACAAACATCCCAATCGATTTTTCACACTGCACAATCATAGACTACTGACCAAAATGCGATGTGGCAGTTTCTGGAACTTACATACGTTTTTGAATTCCTGAGAGATGCGATATATTATCTGTACATCACTTTGTAGTAAGCGTAAATGTCGATAAAATTCACATTATCTATTATTTTCTTTGGTGTTATTCCAAAGGAAACGGACTCTAGCCTAACTTTGGGTATTACCTTTCGCTTCTTTTGTATCATCACAACTAGTCTATGTCTCTTTAATATTGAACATGGCGAACATGGCTAAATTTTACTCTAGGGTGGGAAGAACATCCTTTACAATGGATAAGCTGGTATGATTACGAGTCACCGAAAATGAGCTAGTTCAACCTTGTGTGTTACTTGCTATTTGTAATCTTGTGGTATTCTTTTAAAATAAACAAACGTTGTCTTGAAGTTCACCTGATCCTATTTTACCTTCTGAATCTCGGTATACAGCCCACGAGTTCATTTTTGTAGTGAAAATCGAAGAGAATTTAACATAATGGGAATCTGTGTCGGAATGACTTTGAACGTCATCACCCTTGCTAGTAGTGTCTCGCTAGTGTTATTTTGCGATTGGTTATTCTTAGGCGTATAATTTCATTCAGTTCGCGTATCCGATCGTTAGGAATTCCTATGGCGTTCATCTAATCAGGCAGCTCAAATTGATCAATAAATTTACGTGCTTTTGAAATGAGATCACCATCTGATAATGGGAAATCTTTGCTGTTTCAAATATCAGACTATCCTACCTTTTCGTTTGCTGTTATCTGTAGATTGTTGTCGCGCTGTAGGAAACTGATGAAATCTTTTCGAAGCTTTCCAACTTCATCACGCGTCGAACTTGTAGAGTCCTCTCCAATCGGTTTGTGGTATTGAGTTACATTTACACTAGTTCTGTGTTTTCGCGAACCCTAAAAAGACGATCAACTTTTCAAACCCTTATGCTGGTTAATTAAGAACAAAAGATATTTTATTTAAAGACCAGATATATCTATGAGTGGATAATCTGGATGATGAGGATTCCGCAGCTAGGAATTCAAGATGAGGTCATTTACTTCAATTCTCATTGTTAAGCCTTTACCGGCATGTGCGGATGAGATCGAATTTCACCATCACCACCACCACCACCATGAGTAACAATGGTAGCTTCCTTGATGCATCGTGAGATGATCTCGGTGGCTTGTGTCGTTTGCACGTCTAACGCGAAGCGAAGTGTTTTGTTTTATTTCTTCGCTTCATGAAATAGTCTGCCTGACGTTTACCAATATTCTCTTGTATTATACTATATCATTGCAGACTTATACAAGAAGGGATGTTCACACCGCACCTGAAAACAAACTTAGAGCCAGACTAATAGAAGAAAAATACTCGCTAATTGTTTATTCACTCAAAAGGTTTACTTACAAAACCATAGCCATTTTTTCTTGTTCAGCAAAATATCGACCAGATAGAAAAAATCAAGCATTTCTGTACCTTGACTCAGGCAAGAAAGAGCCAAAAGGGTGGACTTCAAAATGCGAATGACAAGCAAATAATTCCGAATGAAGGCAGTGTTAGAGGTCAACAAGGATCTTGCAGTTATACCTCTCCCGACAATTCAGATGGAAGTAGTAAATTTGGTAAAAAGCAATTCCATGGGTTGATGTGAAGTGTTTTTAAGCCTCGAGGAATAGCGGGGAAATCTACCTTAAAGAAAATTGGGAAGGATGGCTGTGAAAAAATAGAGAATATTGAGGAAAAAACATATTAAAAGGAAATAATGACAGAGTTTTTGGTAGTCTCATCTCAACTTATGGAAGAAAATAGAAATGTTAACATCGCCTAGTATTTGTATTCTTTCTGTTCTAACTCTGAGATAATTTACCAATGAACAAGATGAATTCTTATCCAAACTAGGGTGCGGAATTCCCGCAGTAGAATGATCTTTTAAAGATTAATATAATTAATATAATTAATTAATATAGATTAATATCAACCGAATGACTCCAATTTGTTCATTAAGTAGAAGTCCTGATAAACTTTTGCCTTCACGGATAAAGTAAAAGTGTTCATATTTTATTTTCGTACAAAGCATTGAAGAAACATATAGACTGCAGTATAAGTTTACTGTTTCCTTGCTGACCACTCTCGTTTATTCTTCAGAAATTGACCTGGATTAGGAATAAATTCGAGGAAAAGACTGAATATGACATTCCAACTCAGTACTCATTGCAGTGTCCAGCAGACAGTGCGCTTTGCTCACCGCACAGCACTGCTTTCCTTTCGGTCTCAAAAAAACGGTCGCAGCATATCATCATCACCCCGAATTTGATCATCTCTTGTTTCATTGCGCACAAACAAAATATTCACCGACGGATGCAAGATCTCATATTTCCCACCGCCTAGCGTTCTTCATTTACCCTCCCACAACAAATCCCCCTCTGCTCTCAATCCGTCTGTTTGCCTTCCCCTGGTACGCACGCACGCATGCACAAATACCAATAATTTTTGTGCTGTCGAAACAGATAGACAATTCTTGTTGCATATCTATCTATTGTATTCTAACATCCTGAACAACCGAACGAGATTTATGCTCCGCCCAACTTTCACAGACACGTGTTCGGGTAAACTGACTACCCCAAACACGGGTCTAGTTCTCATTCCGTCTTAGTTCAGTAAAATTGCCACTTTTGATCTGTAAATGAAGCCTTTTCGCGTTCACTTAAATATCCTAGCCGTTGCTTATGTTGTGTAAGTACCAAGAGTTCTAGTGAGTAAAAGTTTTGACTTTTGCCTACCTACTACATTGTGCATTCTCACACAGCTTCCTTTTTTCATCCATGAAAGCCAAAAACACGTACAGACACACGACTGCATTCCAGAAGATTTTGATCTAGCGACGTATCTATCACGTATCAGTCTTTTGTCTTTGTCCAACTCAGCTGATTCTCGAGTTGTTTCATCTATAGATTTCTCAGGTGTCCCAATTACGGTCAGAACAATGTCATCTTTTTTCTTCCTACGCGGTCACGACCGCTCAGTCGCTCGTCTCATCTCCCCGAAAAACTTTTTTCGGTCCCATCTCACTTTCACAATCGTGTCGCACTGATTCGCCAACCAGAAACTGTGCACGTCCAAGACCAAACATGGACGAAGAAAACAAACGACGGATTAGCGAAATTAGCGCTCTGTATGCAGCAGAAATTTTGTTTGAATTTAAAACCACGAGTGAATGAATCAATAAAAGTATGAATGGAATCTGTTCATTGTTTCTTTCTCGTTTATTGAAAGACTATTTGAAATCTATGCTTTGTGCGCATCCAACAATATGAGGTAGTCTACTGTCTGCTGATAACCGAATAGCTTCGTTCACATATGGGGAGAGGAAAGATACGTGTTGCACAGGGCACGAGAGTACGCTCGTGTGGGAACCTGGGATAATTCTTTGCGTAGCTCCGCTTCGAACACGCTCAGTAAACGATTTCTGCCGCTTGGACCTGATCATGGGAAACAGTATTGAAGAATCAATTTATCACATATTATTCGTGTCAGAGTTCGATAATTTAGTGACAAACAAGAATGGATGGCTGTATTCTACGAAATTTTATACCAGGTACAAATTTCAGCAGAGATTATACGGCCTATTTATTTGTTCCTAACATTACACTATGATTGACCTGATAAGTACTTTTTTTGAATAATACAAGAGGACTACGTCAAGGGCACATAGCGCACTATTTAAAACGGTGCAGTTGTAAGAATTTGTAATAAAGATTATAATTCATGATAAAAAGATCGATTATTATGAAAAGCTTATTTTGAAGAGCTTACTTTTCCCGTGGTTTGGACTTAGGAAGCTGACATAGAAAACTGCTGGGGACTGCCTCTGTGTTCACAATTCGCACTCGGTAATTTTTAATACGTCAGGACCAAATGATGTTAGGAGTGTATCGATATATCGATTCGCCATGTGTTGTGTTTATTGTGAATGTTATAATATTAATAACACAGCGATATCGGTAGGGAAGTATATTCGCCGACGTTTCGGTTATCGTGTGTAACCTTTCCCAAAGAGAGTTTGACAATCAAATGACTCAGAGCAAAGGATCACAACAGATATTTCATCATGTGTGTGTGGTGAGCTGAATGATTCGTTGTCTGTCGCACTCGGTAAATTCGGATTCTTAGAGTTGTAGAAAAACCTTATTTGAGCTTTAATTTAAATCTTGTTGGGGAAAAATAATACTTGTATTTTTTGAAAGCGGATCAAACTCCTCCTTGGGACTCACCATTCGACCATGCCCCGCCCGGCACCAAGGTCACACATAACAAAACCCTTGTTCAACCAACAACACATACTGCATTGAATCAGTTCAGGTAGTTATACAGCAAACCAAAGCGGGAGGAAATGAGAATCACAGTTCTCTCATACATCATTGGTTCGCTATCAGTCCCAGTTTTATCGAAATTTAACCGTGAAGTTTTACTGGAAATGGTTAACTTTGCACCTAGTTATACGTATACCTAGCCCCCACTAAAGTAGAAAAAATATATGTTCGAACCACGCTTATTGAAAAAACTAAATGCTGATTTGACTATTGTACACACTTCATTTTAACCTGTCATTCTGTGATGGAGCAATAAATATGGGTTTCACTATGATTAAATGGAGAGGAGATAACTGAACAAAGTAGACGAAATCGCGATTTTGGTTACCTTGACGCATGGATACACAGGTCATTTCTTAAAATATTGCAATCGGAATGAGCTGTGTTTTTATGCACGCTTGCATGTGGCATTCGCAGTAATGATGGCACTCAGTCGCTTAAATCGCCAATTAAGCAATTGGCAGAAATATTTTAGCCTTCAGATTTTGCATCCACCGGTCAGTCTTCGAGAGCATACCACCAAATAGTCCAGTAATCAATGTTCACAGTTCAAGATAGTATTTTGATAAGCTGTCCTATAAGAAACAGGGTAGTGTGCGATAAAATAACGCTGAGGTATCTTACGGAATCAGCTTTTGGAATTCATGTAGGTTACTGAATTAGTTTGAAACAAGAACCTATTTCAAAGGAAAAAAGGCATGAACACGTTCATCAACATTAGGTATAATGAATTGGAGCCAACATTAGTGCCCCCTATGTTATAGCTGTCTTGGTGATAACACTAACAGCTAGAATTGACGTATGGCAAACCAGCTACTGAGTCATCTGCTTATTTGCGGGTGATAGATAATTTTGGGAGAAACGAGGTTTTTATGCATCCACGAAAACCGAATGGAAATCAATCGTACCCTGAAAAGCTTCTGATGAGATTATAATGGTGGGGAGTTTTACTATTGTGATTTTCGTACCTGTTGATGAGTGATTCGTGAGAACCCTCACTACCTGAAGCCATAGACCGCAATCGGAAATAAAACGCACACATGATGGTAATTTATAATAAACATGTCATTTAAAGAAAGTAATATTTCCCAGCTGGAACCTAGCTGTGTAGAGAGCAGCCTATGAGCGGAGACCTGTGTCCGGTCAGATTCAAAACTCAAGCTAAATTTTTATTGAATTTACTTTCCCAGTGTCCATTGTAATCTCACTTTTTAATTCATGGCATAAGTGCGTATGTGCAAACAGGTACATGTTAGGGAATGTGTGTCAATATCCCATCAACAAGACTCGATTTTTCAGTCCAACTAACGATATTCCCGTGCAGTGTTTGTCTGATAGTAGTAGCTTCCTGAAAAATAATTTTGCACCTTTTAACTATTAAGAAAAACGGAAGCAAAAATGTGCGAATGTCGCACATCATGGGTTTATTGTAAAAGGGGCTATCATTGGTTTAGAACGATTCCAAAACTATGTAAAATATAATTTGATGTGTGACTCTCGCAGCAATGAAACCAGTGGTGTGTCAAGAGAGTCACCGTTGGTTTGAGGTGTAAAACGTACTTCTTTCAGTTTTGCTTAATTCTGGGTGGTGACAAGGCGAGTACAGCTGAACTGTTGAACTCGGTGCCACATAAGAACAGGACGAGCATGGCCTCATAGGTCGAAAGCACTGGTTATTTGTGAAAGCCGTGGACTTCCAGCCAACATAACTCGGAGTGTACCGACCGGTAACTGGTAATCGCGAATAGTCCCGGCTCCATGGGCCTTTCAGATAAGGTGAAAGTCCCAAAGATGACGTCATCGGAATGTTTGGGGACGCAGACAATTTTGAGTATTTGTACGATTCGTCTTTTACAACTTCTTCAGTCGTTGTGGATTTCGGCACTTCGTTGACAAGCTGTTCTTTCTCTTGTGGCACAGTTTGTTTAGCCTATGAAATTAGAGGGGGAAAATACAATCGGTCATTTAGAAAACAAGCAAGCTAAGCCTGATATCCCCGTTTCGGAATCTCTCAATAAAATCTGTTTTGTGGAGAAAATCGATGTGATTTTAATCTCCATAGTCTAGCATGAAAACCACTGACCCAAGCTTTTAGTACTAGAATTTATAGAATACATGCAACTCTTTACATATTCAATAGAAATTGGCGGATTTTCCGTAGGTTGTTATTGTATTTACATGTTCTCGTGATAGACAGCTTGTCAGTATACTGCCTTTCAGTTTTACGGAGACTGTTTGGAAATTGAAAGCAGATTAAAAATCATGAAATAAAATCCGAATACTTTCGAACTTGGAATGTTGCATTTGAATAAGCCTCACAAACACGAGGTGTTACGCAAGGCTTTCTTGCTTTGGGTTTGGGTTTCACGAGATGGTTGATAGTTTGTTTCCCATTTTGAATACATTGGAAATGTGATGGAAACTATGTGCTCTTTGCTGGGGTTCATCAACAGTGTGTGTTATTTTCGCTTTGTTGATGGGGGCTGAAACAGCAACTATTCGGAGTGGAAGTAGCAACCCCTATCCCGGAGCTATACGGCTGACGAACCACGCCTTCAAAGAGTGGTCCTTCAAGTTTACAGTTCGGATAAACCTATTCGATTTTACTAGTACAAGATACTGTGTATGACATTCTTGCTACTCTTACAAAAAACTATTTCCCTAATCTAAAATTTTCCCCCTGATGGGCATTTTTCTATTACTTTGCCTCCTACGCATTAGAAAAGTTCCTAATCTATTGAAACTACCGAATCGGTTAACCTCACAAGATTTTCCTACCGCAATTCCCTCAAAGACATGTGTCTTTTTCCCATCTCCAACTCGATTATTCCAAACGAAGAAAGATGAACTTGCCATCATTCTCGGTGAAAACTTCAACAGAGTGGCTTACGGGCAAGGTGTAGGGAAAACATTGCACCACAGCACGCAAAATGTTCTGTTCGCAATGCAGTCAGCTTATATGCACTTATTCGGAATAAGAAGTTTATCTACTGCAGTAGAGGTTTGGTTGAACAATCGCCAACTGAGCAAACTCAGACCGAGAAAGAGAAACTGTTGTTGTTAACACAAAATTTTTAACCTCATTATGTAAGCTAGCGGATTTCATTGCCCGTTTATATCTGATAGGTCTCAACAAACTAAGAATGTATCGCTAGAATTGTTTTATTTTCAGTAGGAGGAGAATAAGGGATTAAGTATGGATTTGTCGTGAAATATCCATGTGCTGAACATATGCCATTGCAAGGCCTTGAATGTACTTTGCGTCAGAAATCATCAACAGCATACATGCACAATTGATTTTCAAAACGAAATCATTCAGGAAACTATCCAGGAATAAATCTAATTATCATCTGGGGTTTCTTTCTTTTTAACCTTCAGGATCACGGTTTATGGGTGACTTGGATAATATATTCGTAGGTCTGTTGCTTATACAGGATAACGGGGAAATGAAACAACTTAAAATGTCAATACGTCTGCGCATTGGGCAAACAATTTAAATGATGATGGAAAACTAACTTTCATCTGTATGATATACAATTAGTTTGCCATAAACACTTGAGAAAAAGATTCACGTAGTGACTAAGGCTACTAATTAGAATGTAGACAAGTGGGACGACAACGTCAATTTTAATTAACTTCAAGTTTTTTACACCATTTTTCCTTCAACGAAGCCTCCTATATTTACACCAAGGTGTATGACGCTATTTTTGTGTAAAAAACAGAGATCAGTGTTATACCCCATTATGAACAGATTTTATCTTATCATGATTGGTGTTTTTTAAAAGGCGATAACCGACAGACTTGAACAATACGAATTTTCCTAATTCAAAGATCTGATCGCGCATGAAATGTCCAAAGTTTCGATCAAGCAAATTCAGTTTCCTTGAACTCAACTAGGATTAGCATATGAATTCATAAGAGTACTGTGAAGGATAGATCTGTACATCTGGATTCGTAGTTAGCCTTTCATGTTACCATGGAATTACATATGATTTGACTCTTTCGCAGAATCCGTTATCTTTTTCTAGTTTCGGGGACAAGCATCAATATTGTAGGGCGAATGATTGATTGTTTCTTTTTTCATAAATGGGCCACAAAGTTCTGACATTATAGATGACATTCTGTCATCTGTANAGTCACGTATCCGCCAAATAACTCTAGATTTCAACAGGATTTGGGTGGTATCGACCGGACACTATTTTACAAAAAGTGATCTAGTCACATCACCTATTGACAATCACAAATCCAATGGAACTAAGGAGAGGTGTTTGATTTAGTTGACCGTGGAACCATATTCCATTTATTCGTTGAAAATGTTTACCCCATATATGCCTCGATTAACTGAGGCCAATGCACTCCTATAAATCACATTTATTAGAGAAATCAACAAGATTAGTAGTCAGCAGTGTTTACAACTTTACTTTATTTCAACATTTCAATTCCTTTTTTATCGAACAAAGTATTTAAGAATACCCCCAATGTGGCCTACAACTGAAGGAAGACTATGGCATCCGGATTTCACTGAATAAATTTACACGACTTATTGCTGACAATAGTTTGCTCCTTTTTCACGCAGGCTTTCTACCGTCGATGTTCAAAGTGATGGATTGATTGCAATTAGCCTTGCTTGAAACTTATTGGTCGGTGACTAACTGTGGTAGATTATAACTCCCAGGCAATTGCGTAACAAATGAAAATAACACAGTGCGATAGACGATAGCATGCAAATTCAAAGCTTTGACGCAATTCGTTAGTTAGAAACTACTTAAGCATCGATTTGGTGTTTTGCTGAAGTTGAAGGATTGCAAATACTGTCCCCACTAAGCAGTTAGCCCCGCTTAAAGTTGGGGACCTTAAATTTGTATGCAGAAGGTAAAGGTAGTTTAGAGTATTTCGGCTGTTGATATGTACTGGCTTTGGCGATAGTGGAACGAAACCAGATGAATGACCTTGAGGTAAGTTTGGGTTTGACTGACACAGCGGAAAGCATGTTGCTGAAATCAATTATCATGATTCAACTTCGCTGATAAAGATACGTGATGTGCACGACTAGCGATCCAACACAATGTCACAACTCATTTCTATTTTGATTGTTTCAGCTCTGTTCAGTTTCACTTTATGCAACCATTAACCATGCACTCCCGTACACAGGTTTTAATTGCTGTCTTTTGGCTGCCCATTTGCATAAACAGTAGGAGAAAGATAGGAGCCTAACGGGACCTATGTAAGCACTAGTTAGGGATTTCATACCCTCGTGTCAGGTATGAGCTTGACCACCCTTGAATGTTAAATAAATGAAGTGTGCGTAAGCAAATGACATGGGGAAGAGATACGAAAAATGCACATAGAAACGATGTAGAGTACCCCAAAAAACCTAACAGCAAACCGATAAGAGTAGCGAAATACTTTTAAAAGAGTACTGCATGCATAATCAAATTATCTACCTTGTAGTTTGAACATAAGGGCTTAGTCTTTTCCTAACTTTAACTTATCTCTATTAATGGTGCTTATTTCTATAGAATATGAATTAGGTATTGAGAATCAAAACCTCAAATCAAGATATTTAAACGTGATATGAATATCATTTAACCGTATTCTTTTAGAATGCACATTGTTAACCTCTTGGTTGTAGCTTCATGTTCTGGAAGTTCTATAGATACTTATCTGATCTTCAGCTACTAAAGTGTTATTAGAATCGGAACGCGTCTTGTGAACACCTCTGAGAGGATCTAAGTGGCCGAACTGTCATTAAAACTGGTTTCAGAGTTTGAAATGTTTCCCCGCTTCACAATTGTTCGATAAGCAAGTGAGAACAATTTTTATAAGCAAAGAAATAGAGAAGAGTGCATATTGACAAAGAAGTGACATAAAAGTAGCCAAACCACTGGAATAAGTAACTATTCTCCTTTAAATATATGACTAGAAACTTATTACATCAATAGTATAAACAGAATAAAATGTTGGCTCTATTCTACCTAAAAAGATCACAAACGTTCAAAGTAAGTAACAACTGAACAAGATATAACAGTACCTTACATTCAATTTCAATAGATTTTGTGTCATTTGTATGCCTAACTAATTTGTTTTTAGATTCCAAGGTCTGAAAGAAGTTTGTTTATTCTCTTGGATAAGGTTTGAAGATTTGGAGCTATGTTAGTGTGAGAGAATTTTTCTGGAAAAAATGCTTACCTTCTCCCTTTCCGCTACTTTAATGGCTGCCTCAGCCAAGAGCTTTGCAGGTAAAACATCCTTGTTCAAAGCATCCGTGAGTGTTTCGGTTGTGCACTTTGATAAATCAACGCGTTGTGTCACATTAATTTGTTCCTGTTCCGTCATTTCTCGATCTGGAAAAAATGAGTGCAAAATAATTGATATTTGAGGCTAAAATAAATATATCAGTACTTTTTGTCACCGGCAGCTTATAGTTGTTCACAAAGTAGCTATCGCATATGCCTTGTTATTTTCCTATTGCAACACAGACAATATCAGCTTTCATAATCATTCAGGGCTTAGATAACATGATTTTTTACTCTAAAGTTATTTACCTCATTGCGTTCATTTCTTACTAAAGAGAGAAAAATGTTTACCCAACTCGTTGATAAAGTAACATCAATTTGAAAAAGAATTGCGGCTAAATAATTTTGGGTTGCATTTTTAAGACTTTTGGTGTACTACCTAGATTTGGTTATTTTGATTGTTGTTTCTATAACAGAAATAAGCTAGTTATCAATGAAAACAAATGAAATAAGATCACGCTTCAAAGCTACAGTCCCACATTTTTTGATTTAGGATACTTCCGGTAGATACACAACTAGGGCGTGTGCAATCTTCCTGTTTTGAGATTGTAGTACTTGGACCATGAGAAACAGAGTGGTCACTCTTGACCATCTGGTAAACAAAATAAACTTGATATAATACCAACACAATTTCCATGCACGAAAGTGCATTGTTATTGGCTATACAAACTGAAACTGATACTAAAATAATTCAAAATAATGAAAGGAGACTTCATTTTTATAGCTTAGTTTTTATCCACCAGTAAAACCAAACAAAAATTGGGACGCGCAGTTGAAACCATGGTTTGACTAATAAAGCTTTATTATTAAAGAAACAAAGCACCTGCAAACTGTCCCTGAATACAGCACTGTCAAATATTTTATAGCACTTATTTGTACATTGAAAGTGCTCTTTCAGCCCTACAATCAATTTTTGATCACCGTTATTATTCGGCCTAACAATGAAGACTTTCATTATTCTCTGTAATATAAAATATTGAACGTTCTTGATAGTTCAATGTTTGTCCTTTTACGGGCACTTAGTATAGAGAACGGATGTCTCTGGAAGTGTGGAGAACATATAATGCTCCCCCCAAATTTTAGTTAATTTCAGAAATTTGTTCACTCTTCTCCTATGCTTACCATATATTTGTTAACTCAACGCATTACAGCTAGTGTAGTAAGTAAACCTAGAAGTTAATTTCAGCACATTTTTTATTCTGCGCTAGAGAATAAGGTAAAAAATGTTTGCCCATTTGAGAAATCTTATTCTTCTATTTGTATTGCATATTACTTAATATGGCTCTTGTATAACTTTCGAAAGACGATTTTGAATTTTAATTTGCAAATACAACCAATTACAAAAATGAACTACAAAACATTTTCAGCAAAAGTGAATTACTTTGCACTTTTTTATCGGAATAGGTTCTTGTACTTACCGATGGATTTCAGCTTTGCTAGAATTCTAACTAAGGAGTCGCTGACTTCGTCTTCTTCTTTTTCTACATCCATCTTTTTGAAAAGCCGAATAAATTCATCGGTCCTGAGATGCTCGTCTTTTGCCTTTTGATCAAGATACTTAACCATAGCTTTTGTCACGCTATTTGGCAGCATTTTAGGCAGTAGTTGTTCAGGAGAGCTTTCTTTTTCCTGTTCGCTTGCGGAGTTGCACCAGCTTTCCCTTCGGCTACTGCTTTGAGCTTCATAATTATTTTCTTCTTCGGGGACGTCTGGTGGAATTATGGCCTTACTAAACCTCCTGGATGACCTCCTAGATACTGTGAATGTCTCTAAGATAGACTCTCTATGCGCGGGTTTATCAAACACTGAAATAACCTCTGCAACGGTAGTTGGTTCAATTCCGGAGAGATCATCCTCAGTAAACTGAGAAAGCATCTGATGAGCTAATCTCAATATCTTTTGTCTGCATTTGGGTTTCTCTTGGCTGGATTCCACGAAGTCTAGGGCCTGAAATGAGAAACAAAAGCAAATATTTTGCTGCATTCTACGATATTTGAAGCTTTCTTAAGTGCCTAATATAGTGTCATTCGCAACGCTTACTGTTTTAGCAAGATGTATTATGTCTTTGTTGGTAAGTGAAACACGTTTCGAGATTCAGAACACTAGCTATCAATGGATAAAAGCTCTGAATAATTGCGTAATTACGTAAGTTTTGGATATAATTAGCGGTAGGCAACTCTCTTCAAAACATAGCATGTTGCATGTTTTAAAGCGTTGATCATAAAAATGACATCAGCTATGAGTTACTAATAACCTACGGACGAACATTTAGTTTGTAATGCCTCAACATTAATTTTGAATAAGCAAGGGTGATCATAACAGGTCTCCAAGAATGTTTCTTGACAGATTTAAAGTAAACCTTTAATCCACTGTAAATGTTTATTTTTACTGCAAAGACCGCGTTTGCTCTATAGTGGAAAATGAACTTTAACTCCAGCAAAACCTTCGGTTCTGTAATAGATTTACAGGTGGTAAGACATTCAAACTAGAAGTTTATTATTTTGTCAGGTGCAAGACATCTATTTACAATCGCTTGCTGAATATCCATTCAAGTATTTGACTTATCAGCTCAGAAAAGTTTCCGATGTTTTTGCTGTAAATGAATTGTTCTTGGTTGATCAGCAGGACAATGACAACAGTATTATATTTAAGAATCTGAGAGCATATTTCTGACTTTGCTTTTTTTAATAAAGCTTAGAAACCCACATTAGTTAGCTCTCCATTACCTATACAAAATAGTTCAACAGAAAAACAAAATATATTTCCCCATTTATTTTCAATGGACTATTTATTCTGAATTAGCTTTTTCTCGCACAAAGTGTAAAATTGAGCAATTTTAGGCAATGCCCAAAGCTTCATGGCAGAATTGATGCTTATTGAAATAAATTTAGTAAACATGTCCATATCTAATGGGAGTTATGAACTGTACAGATATATATATATATATATATATATATATATATATAGGAAATTACCAGGTGTAGCAAAATGATGTTACTTCGACAGAAAAGCACGTCCTGAACATAATAGCATATGAATGAAGGAATAAAAAATTACTCTGTCCGCGTCNTGTTCGCGAATTCACTCCCACAACAGTAAGCTGTGAGAACCGTGAAACTGGTCGCACATTTCCAGGGAAATGCTGCCGAACTTTTCATATGCTACTAATTGTAAAATACGTATTGGGGTGAATAGGTGATTTTGAATGATAACTTCTCAGACTAATAGAATGGGACATTTTTGAATCTGAGAAATCATAAGCCTTGTCCCTTCAACTGAAGAATTCGCCTAATGAATTCTACTAACCACTTGAATTGCCTAATAAGCGTATAGTTTATCACGAAAGGGATGATAATTCTACTCATTTCTCAATATCTATGGCTGCTTTCGAGAAAACCAAAGGAATACCTGTTTCTTTGTGCCAACACTTTTGAGGCTAACCTTTAATGCTTGATTGTAAAAAATAAATGTTTTCCAGTTGGAATCAAAAAATATTTAATTGAAGAAAAAGAAACCGGGACACAGAGTATTCAGGATTTAATCGTAGCTAATTCGGTATTTGATACCTCCGACTTCTCTCAACTCGCAAGCTGCGTTAATTATCTCGGTCTTTATCTGACTTAATGATTTTAAAGAATTCATACAACTTGCTCTTTTTTATACGATTAGCTAAAACTTAAGATAATGAACCCACCAAATCTAGGTAGCACAGAAAATCTTTTGATATAAACCTCAATTTGATTTTGAAACGGGTGAATTTTTGTTTTACCTTAATAACCCACTTCGCAGTGACGAATGATATCAATTCATTTTCATCTTGAATTAGATCAAACAGGGCGTCAAACTGTTCTGTGTGTCCGATAAACGATTCCTTCAAGGTGGGATTTTCAGAATAGAATTTTTCTATCAACTCCCTCTGATCAGATGCTGATATCTTCAATGAAGAAAGTTTTGTATCGGAAATTCATTACCTTTCATACTGAGTTCCATCGATTCGGTATTCTTCTGATGCTGAGCCAAAAAGTAATTTTCCATAACGCGCTCTAAATATTTCGTAATCAGTCTGTACGCGTATTGGTTGTTGGGAGAATCGAATCCGATTTCTTTAACTAATTGAGCCAGCAAATCAAAAGGCAAATACACTAAAAGCTGAACAAGACTTTCACTCGCAGGCACGCGATCTTCCTGTGAACTTGGAGTGCTCGTCATTAGATTGGAATGCACGATATGAATGGCATCCTCTAAAATCCGCGAAGCTATCGGAGCTTTCAATGAATTTGCTGCTATAATTATAACAAGTAGGGAACAAAAGTCTTCTTTATCCACAATCTTCAGGAAAAGTTCGTCCATAAACCTTTTGGTCAATTCCAATAGATTATCTTTTCCACGCATTCGAAGGTCATCGGCACCAACCCGCAGAAATACAATATTGGAAGGATTTATGTCTATCTTTTTTCCATAGCAAAAGTCCGCTATCACCGAAAATGTCTTTGAACCACCAGGGAAATCAGAAAGCTCGCAGACAGGATTTGTACTAGCCACATCCTTAAAATATTCGGATTTCGTGTAGAGAGGGAACTTGTGCAGCTTGAATCTATTTTTCCCTATGTAGACCGTGAAGTCCGATAATTCACCAGTGTCCCGTAGTTGTTTTATATCCATCATGTTTAACGCAAACAACGAAGCTGACGAATAACAGTTTTGCGAAAACTGCAAGACGAATCAAAAGAGGCATATACTCTCATGACCTTCAAATTCAGTTCAGTTCAGGTCAGTCAGTCAGTCAGTCGGTCAGTTTGCACAGGACAGGAGATGGCCACGGCCAATCGAGCGTCCAGATTTCCTCCGGTAGTAAGCCCCGTTCCGGCCTCTACCATTGCGAGTGTTNTACACGTCTTCTTCACGTCTCAGTTGTCTCCGTCCCTGTAAGGGAAGAGGGTAAAGAAAAAGTATCTTCCCCCCTTGTTCAGGCGAGAGACCTCA